ACTCCAGACCTTCCGGAGTCCCAAGACAGGATGTCCAAGAGCTGCAGAGACCACGCCCAGTGCACCTGTTCGGTCATCACCTCGGTGCTGGGGTTTCAAGAGTCCTCAGCCGGCTACTAGCTATGGAGTACGAAGAGAGATTCTTCAACTTCTGACATTGTCAAGCAGGAACTCGGGTGTTGCTAACAAACCCTGTCCAGAAAGGCCCTGGAATACCGATATAAATAAACCCTGGCGGTTCTGGCAGGGTTTATGGTGAGGAAAATGTTCCTGGCTCTGCTTCTCACTCTGGGAACATAAAGTGGGGTCACAGAATGCCTTTAAGCCTCGCCTGAGAGTGTCCCATTCAAAGGACTTATGCCTGTTTCTTTCTGATGATGCTGGTGACAAATGTGTTTCATCTAGTCTGACAGAAGGTCTGGCCGAGTGACCAGGGCTCATGGAACCAGCGCCAACTTGTGTTAGCCACAAAGCTCTTTAACATTCTGCTTGCAGAAGCCGGCATCCTTTGACAGGGCCCCATGAGCACAGGTTCTAATCCAAGAACAGGGAACAGCAGAGTCTGGCTCGAGGCAGGGCTGTCTGCCCACCCAGGGGAAAGGTCTATTTCCTCTTAGGACCCCGGTCTGCAATCTGACCACCAGCCCCAGATTCTGTTCCACACAGAATTTGGGCCAATCCTTCGCCTCAGTAGGATTCGGAGCAGAATCAGCCCAGTGGTCTTATGTTTTCAGGACTTGTATCATTAAAAGAAACATTTAAATTTCTAGGATTGATTGTTATCCACAGGCTGTCAAAACTATCTGGGCTTTGAGGTGCGAATATTTAGTTTCTTTCTGGAAACACTGGGTTGTGAATACAACTTCTAAAAAAGTAAAAGGCCATGAAGCTACGGGCATGGTTTAGGAGTGGGTCTTTGGAGGGCTGGTTGGAAGGAGGAAACTTCCAGGCAGAAAGCTCTCTGGCAATGTCAGTGACCCTCCAGTGCTCCTGAGAGCCCTAGAGGATGCACCCAGCCTGGCATGGGGTGGCAGCCCAGTCAGGAAGCTCGGAGCTGAATCTGGCTAAGAAGTCATCCCTGCCAGCAAGCCAGGCTCCTTTTATTCTAACAGCAGCAGCACAATCAAGTTGGTGATGCAGAAATGACACAAGTTGGATAGAATACTAGATAACGCACGCCAGAGTCTTGACTGTCCAAATCAGGACATCAGCCATGCTGACAAGTACAACGGGGATGCGTTCATTCCCTGGTGGTGACATCATGGGTGAGCATTGGGAGAGGGCCGTTCCCAGGTGCAGGCCTCAACCTTCCACACCTGTGAGCTCAAGACAAACGCCGCTGAGTGGCTCGCCTGCCCACCGGGCTCTGGGCGAGGGCCCTGCTGCCAGGTGATTCTACTGCGCCTCTGAGGCTGCTGGCCACCTGGCTCCTCCCTGAGCTGCCTGCCCCCTCCCTGAGCTGCCTGCCCCAGGCAGCTTCCTGATCTGGAAGTTCCCTCTCCTTTGCGCAGAATCCCGACTGTTCTCGAACCTCCCTCCTAGGAGGCCCAGGAGGTGTCAGGAAGGCCTCAGGCCAGGCTGTGTCGCAAGTGGGTACAAGCTCACCACCGTGACAGGGCCTGGGCGTCTCGGCCGGGGCCGTCCTGAGCGCTGGGGAGGGCACGTTTAAGCAGACCCTCGGCCCCGCCCACCAGACCCCAGCAGCCCCAGCGGGACAAAGGCACCGTCTGGGTAAGCGAGAAAGAGGCTTACTTTGGCTCACGGTTCTGGAGGTTCAAGGTGGAGGAGCCAGGCGTGTCGACGGCCTTCCCGTGGGCAGTCTTGAGGAGGCCCAGGCCCTGAGGCGTCTTCCAGCTTCTGAAGCTCAGAGACCTCTGCCCTCATCACCCCTCAAAGGCGCCACCTGTAAACGCCATGGTCCTAAACTCCCACCTGCTCATTACCTCCCAGTGGGGACCACGCCACCCTGCGGTTGGAAGGGGCATGTTCCAGTCACGGCAACCTCCAAGCTTTCAGTTGTCACTGAAAAATATGAGAGCCGCAGGGTCCTGTTTGGCTGGAATTCTAAAATTTTTTATTCATGGTGCACCGGGGATTGGATCCATGGCCTTTTCGCTGAGCTATGTTCCCAGCACTCCCCTCCCCCTTTTTGTTCTGAGACGGAATCTTGCTACATTGCCCAGGCTGGGCTTGAATTGTCAATCCTCCTGCCTTTCAGCTGTGTGCCACCATGCTCAGCTTTGCCTGGGATTTTTATTTTTATTTTTTTCGGTACCGGGGATCAAACTCGGGTCCTTGCACTTGTGCAGCAGGTGGCAAAACCGCTGTGCCTGGGATTTTTAAAGGCATGAGTCTTTAGGCACCGCAGTGGGGTACAAACACCTTTTCTTGGTTTTTGTTTTTTAAAACAGAGTCTCACCATGTAGTTCAGGATGCCTAGAACTTACTATACACCCCAGGCTGGCCTTGCATTTGTGGTGATCCTCCTGCCTCAGCCTCCCTAGTGTTGGGATTACAGGTGTGCACCACCACATTCAGCTAGAAACACCTTAAACAACATTTTCTTCACTCTGAAAAGGAGACAGCAGGCAAAGAAGGAGAAGGATGTTCTGTGGGATGCGGCGAGCTGGCCTGACTGGGGTCCCGACAGTCTTGAGCGAGGACTCTCCCTGAGGACCTGCACCCTCCCCCTACAGTTAAGGGCAGTGGTGGCGGCACATGCCCATGTCCCCAGCCTCTGGGAGGCTGAGGCAGGAAGATCGCAATTTTGAGCCCAGCCCGGGGAATTCGGGAGACCGTCACCCCAAAACGTTTTAAAGAGGCCACAACTAGCACCAGACACTGCACAATGAGGCCAGCTAAGATTTGACTGTTCAGCTCCCACCTGGCAGAATGCGTGGTGCACTTTTAAAGACTCCTAGGTTCCTACATTCGCTGCCTTTTCTTTGAGCTGTGACCCGACAGGGTGCTAAGCAAATAGGCCGTGGTGGTGGGGGGCGCAAGCGGCAGTTTGTGTCAGCAAGGGACTCGCTCGTGGTAACCGGCAGTTACTTCTCCCGGAACGGAACGTCTGAGGAACTGGCCTCATTTGTGGAGTTGTTTTCAATCCCTTATTCATGAGAAAAAGACATCAGTCTAGGAACACATATTTTCTACCAGTCCCAAATAGCTTAAATGCCAAATAAAAATCCATGTCAAGCAAATGTATTAATTTTTGGCCATATTTAGTAAAAAAATGCAGATTCAGGGCCTGGGGCTGTGGTGTGGTGTGTTGTGAAAGAACTCGTCTAGCATGCGCCAGGCCCTGGGTTCCATCCCCAGCACTGAATAAAAAACCTGAAAATGCAAAATAATCTTTTGAAACTCAATGTTCGGACCCCAAGGGTGTAGAGCTGATTCCCAGACAGCGTGGACATAGAGATGCGGACACCTGCTCACGGTGACAAAGCAGCTGCGAGGGGCTGTGATGAGACAGCTGTGGGAGATTCCAGGGGCACCGCTTGTCAGCCGTGTGACTCCCACCCTTGGGTCCCTTCTTCCTAAAACAGAACCAGTCACACAAAAACCTACCTCCACCTTGTACGAGGGTTAAGCCAAGTGGTGTAAACAAATGCTTAGCACAGAAAATGCTTTCACTGGGCTTGGGCTGAGCGATCACTCTCGCCAAGTTAATATCCAGGGTTCGTTACCACAACACACGGTGCCAATTCCTCCATTTTAATCTAGTTGTAAGTAATAAAATAAGGGGACCATAATTCTGTGTAAGAAGTCTTCAACTTACAAACAGGATGTTACAAAAGTTCATTTTCAAGCTGTTTGGAGGATGCTGTTCCCATAGCAACAGCGGAGTAGGCCACCCAGGTCTCACAGAGCCAAATCGAGCTTTAGTTACCCTGAGTACCAAATGTGGGTTCTGACATGGTCAAACGGTGATTCATCACTTTACTTGTAATGAAACAAAGTAGAAAACCAAAACTGATAAGGAAGTAAGACGATTTTAAATCCCGTGGCTCAAGGAAAGCATAATTAACTAGGGACCAAGTGAGGAAGCTGCCGGCCCTCTGGGCTTTGGAGGTGAGGGCATTTAATCAACCATAGGTTCTCCTTGGGGCACGAGCTCCATTCTAGTACATACTTACTACCCTCAGCAGGGCATTCACTGGCCTGTGAATGAACAAAGGCTACAGGAGAACGCGGGCTGGGTTTTCCTGCGCAGAGCACACCTGAACTAGCGAGAGCAGTGCTGTTCTCCTAGATGCACGGAGGTCCTGCTGAGCCTAGGCTATGGGCAAGAGGGTGCAGCAGGGCTGTCCCGAGCAGGCCTCATCCTGCAGGGCCAGCAGTGGTGTCTCAGGCTAATGCTGGTTGTGCCAGGAAGGCCAAGACTGGCTAGGAGCGGTGGCTCTCGTGTCTGGGCTTGTGTGCTCAGGGTGAGACCTCTGGCTGCCTCATTCCAAGAGCAGGAGGTCGCCTTTTGCATCAAGGGTTCACACTGGGGTGAGCTTTGGTATTATCAAGCCTGGAGGAGCTGGGGTTTCACAGTTTTGTTTACAAAGGAACCCACAGCTATCTGTGGGATTAGTTTAGCTGGCACCTCCCTGTGCCTTTACATCAGCTCAGTGAAACATGACCCAGTGTTAGGTACGAAAAGATCCTTGGTCAGGTAACTTGGAAACGCACAGGTGAGAGTTAAATTTGCTCTAGGACTCCAAGCCCTTTACATGCTCCTGTGCACTGTGAAAGCTCACGTTCTGAATCTAGTATGGGTTTCTGAACACAAGTGAGCATAAATCCTCCTTTCCTGGGGCTTTTCCAGACAGGTGCTGTGGGGCATAAAATTAGGTAAAAGTCTCCTTTCCAGTGCGGTCGCCACACCCTCTGCCGGACTTCCCTCTGTTCTGCCTTTGGCTCTGTGTACTTAATCCTTTTGGATGTGCCATGTGCATTTTAATATGAAGACCCGGAAAACCGAACAAATTTCTGACACAAGGAAGCTCCAGTAGCAGGATTTCAGGCACCTTTATTTGTGGCAGATGTTTTTGGCCAGGGGGGCCTGCCCCTGAAGCCTGACATTTAAGGAAGTCACTACCCTTCCATCCGAGAGCAGCCCTATCACCTCTGCTTGCCACTCATGAGGCTTGGAAGCATCCTGCACACAGGCTTCTGCTGGCCCTGCCCAGGTGGAGTGGGGCATTGCAGGGCGAGCTCAGGTCTTACCATTGGCCTGATCACAGGGCTTTGCAACTGGAGAACAATCGTGGCAACTTCATTTTCTTACAGAAAAATCTGACTCCTCTGTGTTCCTCATATAATTTATAAATAGGAAAAATATTTAATATTAAGTTTGTAACATAAATAAGCCTGGTGATACAGGAAACTTAAAAAGAAAAATCATACTGTTTTAATTAAGGGTTTCCCTTTAGGAGGGACCATACCATCCCTCAACTGTTTGTCATCCACGTTTTTGTCGCGTGGAATCACTTTCTGGTGACAACCACGTGGGTCACCTTCCAGATCAGCAGCACTGGCCTCAGCTCAGCACTCCAGATGTCACATCTTTCAAAGGCAAGACTCATTATCTCGTCTTCTATCATCACTGATAAAATTGTTACTCAGCAAGAACCACACTTGATCTTAGCCAAAAGGCCGAGAAGCGATTCGGCAAGAACTTAGAAAAGTAAAAGAATATGTTTTAAAAACTTGAGCCTACTACCAGTCAGTCATCACATTCTAGCCCAGTGACTGGCACACACTCGACAGCTCTCTTTCTCTTCTCTCTTTTCCAATCAGCGCTCAGAGAAAGGATGGAGTAGCTGTGTTTCAAAATCCTGCCAAATTTTATGGTAACCATTGTAGATGAGCAATGTAAGGTCCTACTGAAGGATTAGAATCTCATGCAAAACCGAGTGAAAGCCTCTTTATGTCAGGCTATTCGGTTACTTTTGGTATTTAAAAAATGCTAACACAGTAAAGTGGCAGTGGTTACTTTTCATTGACTTTAGCATTTGATCCCACACACTTAAGTCATCAGTTGTGTTTCAATTCTGAGTTCTGGCAACAGAGTAACGACAGATATTACTGAATAGACAACTTTTAAATGTTTTAGCCGTTTGAAAAGTATAGTATTGCCAGCACACTAGTGTTAGGTTAGTTCAACAGTCACTTTGTGCTGAAAATGAACCCTAAACTACAAATATCTTACTTCACCAGGTCTAACAATAATCGAAGGACTTACCATTTATCTAATAAAAAAATCATACAGCAACTTTTACGCAACAGCAATTACTACAAAAGGAATGGCAGAAAACAATGAATTCACAAAAAATACACTAAAAAATTTGACAATTTTATGAGGAAACTGCCAAAGATTTAGTGTTTAATGATTAGTAGCACAGCTGACCAAGTTCCAAGATGTGAAGATACCATGTTGGAGAAACGGGGGTGGGGGGGTGGGGTGGGTGACTCTATAAACTAACTAGGATGTAGTAAGAATGCACACTTTATAACATAAAACCTGTCTACACATAGCAGTTAGTTGCAAAAAGCCATTTGATCTTCTTTTGGCTTGGAAAAATGGTGTTCCAGATTTCAGTGTAATTTAGCAGCAACCTGTTAATGAAAAACCAATGTGTCTTTCATCACATAATGACAAAACAATACACTGAGTCATCAACTAAATATTCTTTCAGAATCATCTATTAAATTAAACTTATTTTCTCTGCATAATATTTTAGCAAAAGTAGAACAGATTTGTTTGGAAATCTTTATTAAAAATTTTTTGGAATCCATTTTCTACACCACCCCCTTTGTTATTAGCCTTGTCTCTTGAATTTTCACCTGACGGGATTTCTGATTGCCACATAATATAAAAACATCCCTGGGAAGTTTCCTGTACGACATTTTCCAAATTATCTCTAGATAAGAACAAAGCTAACATAACATAAACCAGAGGAGTCACGTGACTTTTCTCACGCAGTGATTCAGCTCACTCTACTGGTAAGTTTTAAGCAAATATACTCATCTTTAACTTCCCAAACCTCTATTTATTCTTTGGGACTTCAGAGTCACTTCTTTTTCAGTTTCTAAAAATCTGGTCCAGGAAATGTGCAGAAAATGAAAAAGAATTAGGCCTCTCTCATTGTATATTGTTTAATACTCTAGTCACATAAAATTCTTGTTAAATTTTATTTTCTGCAGGGAATTAAGATGGTATAAATGGGATGTGAGAAAGTGGGTTTAAAAATTAGTTTTTGGGTATAATGAGGCTACCCCTCTTCCCCAAACACAAGTAACGTCTTAAAATGAAGAAACACGCTACACAGAGTGATTACTTTGGAAATGTCTTGCAATATGGGTATCATAAAGTATTAGTCTTTCCTCTGATATCTGAAACGATTCAGTGGAAATTCATTTAATTCTTATCTTTAAAATGTTTTTGGTTTTTTTGAGACAAGATCTCACTACATGGTTCAGACTGGCCTTGAACTCACTAGGTAGCCCGGGCTGGCCTTGAACTCTTGGCGATCCTCCAGCCTCAGCCTCCCTAGTGCTGAGATTATAGGGGTGTGCCACCATGCCTGGCTCATGGTGGTAATTTAATCAGGTCTACAGTAAGGGCTTTACGCAGCCACGGTCTGGTTCATATGTCACAAGTTCCCAAGAAAGAGCCTAAAATGTATGAAGTCCATGAGGGTGGGGTGCAACAAAAGGGATGTTTGAGGGGATCATGGCTGGGAAGTCATCTAGAGAAAGGATGACTACACCAAAATTATGCTTACAGGTTAACTCTATACTCTTTTTAAGATTAATACAACCATGCCCTTCCTCACCTTCAACTCTTCTGTGTGGCAGGAATCTTGTTTTCAACGTCCAGCTCCTCCACCCCAGCCTGTGTCATGAGGTCTGCGATGTTTTTCTCCAGATCATCAATTCGACTACTCATATCGTCAAGTGGTGAAGTTAAAGACAATGTACACCAGCATCTCCCATTTCTCAGCCTTTTCCTCCAGGGCCCTGCAGACTATGGCCTTAAACACCGCTGCCTTAAGGAAAATGGTTGCCCAATTTCCTCTGGATATTGTTACAGTCTAGTCATCAAGGTGAAGTGATGGCCCCTGGTAATGTCTCTTGCTCTTTAAAACCTCAGTTTCTCCATCTGTTAAATAACCCTATGACCTACTTATAAGTTTATGGTTAGGATCAAAGGAGAGACACAAAACACTCAGCTCACAGCAACTGTCAACCATAGGAGCTATTAATATTCCGACTGCAGATTCTCTGAGCCAAGGATTTGTGTAGCTCAGCTGACTCCTTACCCTCTTTCTCAGGAACACAGTGCATCCAAGCTCAGTAAAGAAATTTCTGACTGCCTGGCTGAGGCTGGACTGCAAACCACGTACTTATTCCTATCACTACCTGGCACAAAGGCTTCCAGGGCCCCTAAGAAGCTAAGAGTAAAAAGGATATTTCTTCCAATGATCTGGTCAGACATAGTCTGAAATTTATCTTGCATCTGCTGCAGCAGAGTCTGCACCTAAGGAAAAAACCAAAGCACACGAGCAAAATCCAATTTATCCTGAGACACGTTTCTGGGACGAAGGCAGGAGCCTGGTCTCTGCCCCGGGGTGGCCTCTGGACAGCCGTGTGGCCTTCAGCCAGCGGTGCTGTCCTCGGGAATTCAGTTTTCCCATCTGCCTAACCAGACTGATGCGAGGTGAGGCCCCTTCCAGTTTGAGCCACCAAGAACGCAGGGCCTCGGGGCGCTCTGCACAGCGGGGGGGGGGGGTCGCGGGAAAAGGGTTGAGGGCGCGGGGCCACGCCCAGCAGCGGTGCCTCCGCGCCTCGGGCCGCGCGGGCCTCCCTTACCACCGAGGTGAGGTCCTGCATGGTCTTGGGTTCCGTCTCGGCCATCTCCCCGGTTCCCAGCTTGGCGGCGAAATTTCCGACAGTCACCTACACTTCCGTTTGTCCGCGTCGACGCCCCTAGCAGCAGCTTCTCGTGACGACTCGGGCCACTCGCGGGATCGCAGGGCATTGTGGGGGCCGTAGTTCACGTCACGCACCGGAAGGGCCGCGAGAGCGCGCACTTCCGTTCCGATGCGCGGCCCCGCCCCATTCACGTAGCTCCTCCCCTCCCCTCCCTGTCCGGCCCCGCCCTACTCGCTTCTTGCGGCAGAAAAAGAGGGGACAAAGCCGGAAATGTAGTCAAGGAGTCAGGGTGGCTTTGACCTTTTCTCGGAACCTAGTGAAATACATCAATACGTCTCGTTTTCTTTGGCTGGTGGGCGTGCACTTATTGGATGGTTGTCTTGCAATATAACACAATAATCCAATGGTTTGGGATGTTTGAGGAGGTGGGGCTGCTAAGATGGGACTCCAAACTCCGGCCCCACAGGAGGTCCGGGAGTGAGTCTCGTGACGGGGCAGGAGAGTCCTGACTGTAGGTCTGGCATGATCCACAATTTACATGGCCTGCCTCACTAGCGGACTGTATTTGGGGGCCAGTTTCGCTTGGAGCTTTGCTGAAGGGAGGCAGAAGTCCACCAGCCTCGGTAACAGCTGGGTCAGGGTTGGCCATGGAGGCCGAGACTCAACTGCTTCCCCCGTGTCCTCCCACTGCACCCTCACCCCTTACCTCACTCCTTGCACAGAAAGATCTTTCTGTGCCACATGTGCAATTAAAAATCGTTGGTGGTTGTTTACTGGTGTTTGGTTAGTACTTTTTCTGACTACGTGATATAAATCTGTATTTTAACTTCACCTCCAGAAGACCCCTGCAACACAATTATCACCATTTTACCATTTTGAGAAACTGGAAACAGGCGCTAAATTTCAGCAAGTTCATCAGATTATGGAAGTAAGAGCTGCAGGACTTTCTGACTATATCTTTTTCTATCACTTGAGAATTCTCCTGCGCTTTCTCAGTTTAGAGCAGGGATTCCCAACAGCAACTCTGCTGGCATCCAGGGCCAGATCATTCTTTCTTGTTAGGGGGAGAGAGGAGAGGGGAAGAGTGCCCTGTGCACTGCAGTTGGGCAGCGTTTGTGACTTCGGGCCACTACATGCTGGTGGCATCCCCTCCTTTCCACCCTTCCTAATGACTGCCGCAAATATCTTCCAGATGTTCCCAAATGTCGGCAGTTGGTGGAGGCTAGTGGGCTCTGAGGACGTTGCCTAGGATTCTGTGCACACATTCTTCAAGGATGAATTAATTTTTGCTATGGCCATTTTTTGAGAATGTTGAGATTGAAGGTGGGTATATTAGTTGTCTAGGGCCACCATGACAAACTAGGTGACAACAAACAACGTATTTGTTCTCTCATGGCTCTGGAGGCCAGAAGTCTAAAATCACAGTGTCAGTAGGGTTGGTGTCATCTGAAGCAGAACCTGTTCCCTGTCTTTCTCCAGCCTCTGGTGGTGGCCAGCACCTGTGGCATCCTTAGCTTGTAGATACATCAGTCTCTGCTCCGGTCTCTGCTTCTGTCTTTACAAGGCTTTGTCTCCTTTTGTGTGTGTCTCTCATCTTGTAAAGATACAAGTCATTTTAGATTAAGGGCTCTTTAATCCAATATGATTTCATTTTAACTAATTTTATCTGTCATGACTCTACTTCCAAATAATACCATATTCTGAGTTATTGAAGGTTAGAACTTCAACAAATTTTATTCAGGGGATGTTACAACCTGTAACACTTGGTAAAGCAATATCGCTTTAAATTTGTGGCACACTTGTTATTTTATAGAGTTTACATAAAGCTCTAGAGTCATTTAGTGTGTAACTGAGGCCAATAGAGCCTGAGGCTCCTGACTTTGGACCTGATCACTAGATATTGAAGTCTAGGTAGCAGCACTGAGTTTCTAGTAAGAGCTGGCCGTGAACAATGCAAGAATGCGAATTAGCAAAGACCTAGAAAGTTCGTTCATTTGTTCCTTCTTTATTTCCTTCCTTTTTTCCCAGCAGGAGACTTGAGTTTTAGAAAAAAATCCTAATTGAAATTTTCTTTACATAAACAGGAAAACTTGACACTCTCTCAGTGGAGGTTTTAATTATTTTTTGCACTTGAAGAGAAAAATGACACACTTTCTCTGTGTGCAGAGAAAGATATATTAAATAGCTGCATTATGCAAAAGCCTGACTAATAATTTATGGTCATGGCTGATGCACCTGTGGGAACAGACAAGAGAACCTACCTGAATGTTACTCTAAACTACTGTATTCTGGGTAAGACATTGGTAATTAACCTTTAAACTTCACTTTTGAACAACCCTCATTTTTAACCTTTATTTATTTATGTATTTATTTTTGGTACTGGGGATCGAGCTTGGGTCCTTGAGCCTGCAGGGTGGGCATCGGAACCACTGAGCTACATTCCTGGGCCTTACCCTTCATTTTAGTGCCGTAGTTGTCTCATCTGCTCTTAGCAAGATTTTGGGCGGATCTTTTTAGATTAATTGCATATTGTAATTCTCTTTTCTGCTTTCAGGACAGTTTGGTTTTACTTGAACTTATTATGGTACCTTTACAATAGCTCTTTGGCTCACACTGGGCCATTCTGAACACTCCTTTTTGGGATCTAAAGGAGGTCTCTACGTGCACTTGTGGCTATGTGTGTATGATGAGATTTTTGTGCTGGCCTTGCCTAAGCAGAGCAGAAGTGATCACAGCAGGGCCTTAGGGGTTCTGACTCATTCTTTCCCTACTCGCATCAAACATCAACCTGGCGTCTGGGTGGAGCTACCTGGCTGCCTGGTGGCCACGTGCCTGTCAGAGGTGCTGCTGCAGTCTCCGGGTGACACCTCAGTCATCCTGTGGCCTGTGTGTGTCTGGCTTCTGACCCTTCAAAGCATGGCCATCCCAAACTTCCCAGGGTCCCCAAACCCACTGTTGAATCCCCTTCACTCTCACAGGACAACGTTATATTCTAAGAAGAAAAACACTTGTAGAGAAAATGGAATGTCAGTCAAAACCCCTCTCTGTGGAGCCTGGCTGTGAAGCAGTAGCTCCAGAAGGGCCCAGGTCCCCTCAGGGTCACTTTGCTTGGGGTGGTTTGAAAAATTGTCCCTCTACTCTGTCACTGTTTGGACTCTATTGTGCTAAAGATGGTCTAAGACCAAGCACACATGGTAAAAATCCCAGGTAGCCTTTATTTGAATGTTTCACACATAAGTTACAAATCTATTTGCAACTACATAGTAAAGCAGTGTTAATTCAGCTCAGAGACTAAGCGATGCAGCACCAGGGCCCAAGGGATTGACGTCTGCAATAGTCAAATATTTTAAAATGATACATTTTTAATCTCTTTTAAGTATCTACAAAAAATGTACTTGAAATTTCTGAAAAGTTTTATCTTGGGAGTAAAATAATTTTTTGCCAATCAGCACAGTGGTGACTTGTGCACGACAGTTTTTCTTTTCCATACCGACACGCCTCCATTTTCAGCTCTCACTAATCTGCGTGCACATTGTGGATCTAGAATGACTTTATTATCCCTAAGGGAAAAGCTTTAGAAAAGTAGTGGGAGTGTTCAGGATATGCTTGTTCTGCAAGGCTCTCCAGGTTCTCCAGCTTCAGTCTTACGCCCCCTGCTGAATCCCACCATCTCCCCAGGGACAGGGAGGGCTTGGGAAGTCTCCGAGAACTGCTCCAAAGCTTGTCACGCTTAGCCAACCATAGATGTGGTGATGGTGGTGTAGCAGGAGATTTTTCTGCTTAAAGTGGTGCCTAAATGATTTCTACTTATAGATTATTAATTTATTTAGGTTTTTTGAAACAAGGTCTTGCTATGTAGTCCAGGCTGGCCTTGAACATCCTGTGTAACCTAGGCTTGCTGGGAATTCACAGAGATCCTTCTGCCTCAGCCTCACAAGTGTTGGGATTACAGGCACCTGTAATGCCTGCCCAGCTCTAGATTTAGTCTTATTTTATAGATTTCAAGTACTTACCTGAAATCATCATTCACACATTTTTCTGTCTCTAAATATCTTACTTAGGCTTTTATTGAGCATAGTCAGAACTGTGGAATTTTTGCAGTACCTGGGCTCATCTATTAGTAAGAGAAAATATAGGAAGGGCAACCAATTTGACATAGTAAAAGAATGGTTAATTGCTTTAGAGGAATAATTATGGAGTATCTTGTCTGGTTCTGTGGCCAAGTGGGGGCAGTACTATGACATAGTGGGAGGAACATGAACCCTGGAACCAGATGGCCTGGGTTTAGGGTCTGGCAGCCACTTAACTTGGGTAAGCATTTGTTCCAAGCCTCCTCTTTGTGTTTCGATGAGCTGATATGTTAAAGGGTTTTGTGTAGCCAGGGCACGTGATAAGCAGGGAACAAGTAACAGCCATTGTTAGTGTTAGGGCTTCTTTGGTACCGTGGTCACATGCCAGGAGCAGATTCCTTTCCTCAGAATCATCTAGGAAGCAGTGTGTGGGCACAACTGCCCTGGAGCCAGCATCCTGCAGACTCCTTAACGATATTTCACTGTCACATCTCAAGATCAAGACCCGATGTATTTACTTTGGTTAAAATGAGATCTGATCTACTCCATAAGTTTGATGGTAGATGATTGTTCCACTTACGATGGTGTTTACAATGACATTTTGAAAGTCTAGAATGAGTTGTCAAAACTTCTCACACTGCTCTGTAAGCATCAAAGTCTTGTTTGATGCCTACCAGGAAAACTGACTGGCTTTATTTTGCTTTGGTGCTCAGGTTTGCTGGTGTTGGCCAAAGGGCACAGCAGGTGCATCTGCCTGAAAAGATGTTCATTTAAAGAGAGCTGGCAGGATCGAAGGTAACTTTCAACACATTAGAGAACATCTACATATTCTTATTAAAACAAACTGTCTGATACAATTAATTTATCGTAGGTACAATAGTGAGAAAATGTACTTTTTGATCAGCTAATGTGGTTGATGTGTTAATAAAAGAAGTGAAGAAGGTGTGACTGTTCACCCAGTCTTGTATTCTGTAATTGATTTTTTGCAGGGCCAAGGCCTGAACCCGGGGTGTCTCCAATGCTAGATAAGTGTTCTACCACTGAGCTACACTCCTAGCATGCTCAATAATTGGGAAAAATAGTTTCTGGTTCTTACTTGACTTTTTTTTATAACTTGGACTAAAATACTTGGCAATAATATCTTGATTTTACTTTTGCTTTCAGGAAACAATGTAATGCATTCTAGCATGTTACAATTTATGATTCAGGAAGTGCTACCAACTTAGCTTCTAAGAATTGGTCTAATGTTCTTGTTTTGGAAAAGATTATGATGGACATATCTGTAGCCTGATAAGGGAAGTTGAGGCATACTCTACTTATTAATGAAGTCCACAATTTGCTCCTACTGTTTCGGGTTCTAGGCTAAGTGAGGTTCCCGTTTGTCTTGCAGAGTGCAGGACAGCCCACTGGCTCAAGAGGCATCTCGCCCTTGTTTCCTCAGTGCGGGGCATTTAGCACCTGTGTTTCCCCTGCAGATGGCTCGAGCTCATGTTGGAGGGTGAGCTTCTGGATCGTTAGCTAGTGTGAGTCAGGCCGCTCGACAGTTGGCCATCTGAGGGTGCTTCTTGGTCGGTTCAAGGATGAGCATTCTCCTCTTGCCTTGCAGGAGGAGGGCAGAAGTGCATCAGGCAGGCCCATGGTTAAGCCCTGGAAGGCCAGAGGAGGGAATCTCTCGTGGTGTCATTGTGCAGGCTTAGATTCCCTTTCCCTGTACGGGGGCCGCACACCTGTGGAGAACAATCCTGTAATGTTTAAGGTGTGGCATCTCCTGCCTAGGCAACAAGACTTGTTCAAGAGTAGATCCCATGTCTTGGGACCATGGACACACAACTGGGCTTACCGTGGTGATCAAACCAAGGATGGTCCCGGGGATCCATGAGTATGCAGTGGACTTTACAGCTGACTATGACATGCCTAAATCATATCCTGAGGTGGACAAGGCGAGCCCAGTACCCATCCTGTGAGCTGGTGCTTCTGCACATGTACGTAACAGTGATGTGCAGGGGACCCCAGAAGTCCACAGATGTGCACTTCTGCATCAGCAACATTAGACACAACATAGAAATCAGAGAAGAGCTACTATCCAGCAGTTTTAACCACCAATACCCATTTATTTTAATGGAAAAAAAATCTCTGCATTCTATATGTTCCAAAAAGATTTACTATTGAAACAAATACAATATATGGAACTCTATCTGCATAATTCCACTACAACAAAGACAACATATGACTTCTACTTCCTACAGAAGGCCAACTGAAAAGCACAAGGGCAAACATAGATTGCATAAGAAAGCATGTGTGTGTGTGTGTGTGGTTAAAACCTTTAGTAAGCAACTGCATTAAAATATGCTAAGACACTTACCTTACCCTAGTTTGTGGTGAGCTCTAATAAAAAGCCACAGGCTGTCACTAGTTTTATTTGATAGAAAAATTTGGTGTGAGCTTTGATGGTTCACTTACCGCTTATCAACAAGAAGATAAACTTAGTACAAGCACTAACTTTCCTCTGACTTTTACATGCTCACAGAGTAAAAATCAATTACTTTTCAAACGTCATGAACATGTTTTATTTTCAGGTTTGCAAACAACGGTAGTCAATTCACACAAAAGGGTACTTTTAAAACTACCTGTATTTACTCTATTTTATGCCTGTATATATGAAACGAACAGTGGGTATGTGCATAAATGTATGTCTATACATGTGGGTATATATGTGTATACAAGATGGTACCTGCTGGCTTCTTCATGTGTACATTCGACCTCCAAGCTGACACCTGCAACTGCAACCTGCATACACTGCGGAGGGAGAGATTCTCTACCATGATCCGTGTCACCATAAGAACCAGTGGGACTATGGATTCAGGACGCATACAAATGTAGACGGGTGCCCATGAAAGAATAGTTCAGCCCTTTTCTTGGTACTTGATGGCAAGATCTCCTGCCCTACAGATTACCACCCTGGCCCAGGATCAGAGCGTTTGGTGGCAATGGGAATTGGTGGCAGTCTGCATACTAAAGACAAAGGACTCTTCGCTCTGCCCTCCTGTCTGTGGACCTGCCTGGCTGGCTGGTCAGCATTCAGCCTTCAGACTGAACATGGGCTGGTGGAGATGGAGCTTCATGGTAAAAGTGACCGCTCTGTGGCCTGCACTGTGCTGAGCTTTCTGCTGAGGTCCTGGGAGGCTCAGCTGTCTTAGGTTCTACCCCTCTCTGCTTAACCTTTTGAGGAAGAATGACATATCAAAACTAGGCTTCTCCTGTATAGTCTCTCTATATAAATACCGTGTATATACACATACAGATACTCATACATATACAAATACGAACCCACAGACACAGCTGGATGTGTGCAGCACTGGCTAGCAACATGTCAACACATCAGAAAAGTAGTCATTGTTCCTGCTCCCAGAAGGTCAAGTTATATGTCATGATCTTTAAACATTCAGCAAAAATTCAGAGGATTCCATTAATCAAAGGAGGAAAGAAGATGTTCTCAAAACGGTGAAGTACAGACTAAGTGAAATTGCAAAGAAAATGAAAATCAGAACAATTGAGGCCTAGTTGTGAAGTTCGAGATCTGTAAACGGCAATCTTCAGATTTGGATAGATTTTTTTCCTCTTTTTTTTCTCGTTGCTATGGAAACTTGGGAGTCAAGCTTCAGATGTCAGGAGTTCTCACAGACCTGAATGGAGAAGGCTCAGAGTTAGGTCAGGAATACCACAACTCAATTTAAAACATTTTAGCTAAACCCTGGATAAATGACTGACATGCTGTCACAAACATCAGATGTTTTTTACCCTTCCTCTAACATGACATCTGAAGATAGAATAAATACTCCTGGTGGTTTATGTCCTAAGAAGCTGGTCTTGGGGCTGGGGTTGCAGCTCAGTGGTAGAGAGTGTGGGCTCCATCCCCTCCACTAAGAAGCCAGTCTTCTCTGAAAATGCTTATGATGACGTCAGATGCCAAACATCTCCTCTGAGACCAACAGCAGCTATTAGTGCGGCTACACACTTGATCTTAGCCAAAAGGCCGAGAAGCGATATTATTAGTGTGGCTACAAATAAGCCTTATATCATGTACATTAGCACAGACATGCTGAGCTATGAATGACCTGATTCTATAGCTCACAGATTGATGACTGTCATATATATGACAGCAAGAGGCATATTGGTGGTTCTTCAAACATAGTATGTTAGTTTCCTTTTGCTGCTATAACAAGTGGTCACAAATGTAGTGGCTTGAAACAAAACAGATCTATTCTCTTCCAGTATTGCAGGTCACTGGCCTGAAATGAGTCATAATTATGCAGCTAAAAGAGTGAGCAGATCTGTGTTCCATGTGGAAGCTCCAGGAGAGAATCCACTTCCTTTCCTTTCTCAGCTGCTAAGAGCCCACCTGTATTCCTTGGATTGCTGCCCCTTCCTCCAACTTCAAAGACAGCGATGTTGCCTCTTCTGTCTCTCCAACTCCTAACTTAATCACACCTGCACAGTCTCTTGTACTGGGCAAGGTGACCTGTTGGCTGGTTCCAGGGATCAGGACTTCTTGGGGCCATCACTCACTCAAACACAGGTGAGAGGCTCTGCACTCCAGAGAGAAAACAAGGCATTGGGCGCAGAGGACTATGGGCTATGAGACCAGGTCACTCAAGTGGCATAGTCAGAATGACATCTGCGTAGGGTGAGTTAAGAGCCTGTATTCCATTTCCTGCTCATGGCTCCTCCCATAGGCCTATGGGAGGCGGCCCAGGGAGAATCCTGTTACCCCATCCATTCAGCTGGGTGAGCAGGGTGGGGTTGGGTGGGATGGAGCTTTGCCTGTCTAGGAGATCCAGATCCAGTTTAAAATGAAAAAAAAATTTTTTTTCTTTTTGTACTGGGGATTGAACTCAGGGCCTCTTGCATGCTAGGCAAGTGTTCTACCACTGAGCTACACCCACACCCCCTTTTGAATATTATTTTATTTAATTTATTTATTTATTTTGTACCGGGGATCGAACGTGGGTCCTTGCACTTGTGGGGCAGGCAGCGTTAATGTTATTTTGAGACAAGGTCTTGCTAAGTTGCCCAGGCTGACCTCAAACTTGAGTAGCTGGGAGAACAGCCGTGTGCACCTGCACTCAGAGCAGCGTTTTTTGCTCCGATCCCTTCTAAAGGGCTTCCATAGCCACGTGGTTCTCACAAAGAAGACCGCTGAACTCTGGACTGAGGAGTGGGGTCCACCAGCTGCAGAAACTCTCCCCATAGTCACGGTCACCAACGCTTCACTCTTGGGCCAACCTAGTGCCATCAAGAGGAGGGTGAGGAGGGATTCAGGGGTCCAGCTCAGCCCTGGTGGGGATGAGCCGGCCCTGCTGGCATCCAGCACCCCGCCCCCCCCAGGCTCTGTGCAACTCAGCGCGGCTGTGCGGGGAACCTGTTCTTTCAGTGTACAGTGATCGGGTCTCACTAGCCAACCGGCAAGACAGTTGTGCAGTGTGGAGTATTTCTGAAGAATTTTGTTTCAGATGTTCTCTTAGCTTAGGCTTGGTAAGGGGTCCTTTTTATTTTTTAAATGTCAAAAGCCATTTCTATTTCCAGGATGCCACAATGCTTTATATATCTATATCTATACCTTTCTGTGTAATGCTTCCAGTACCTATTTTTTTGCTAGAGACCAGTGCGAGGATTCTTGGTGTCTGTAGCGGTGACATTTGTAGCTGGACTCTGTGGCAGGACCATCCTGTGCACAGGAGGACACCCGGCCGCATCCCTGGCCTCTATCCATTAGGCTGCCACTGGCAGCCTCCTCTCAGTCATGATAATGAAAAATATTTCCAGACATTTCCAGCTGTCCCTCAGGGGGCAATGGTTTAAAAATTAGACCGAATAAAACCCACTAAATGAGTCTCTAGCCCTTTGTTTTCAAATTAGAGTCTCTGATTCCAGATTTAAGTCAATTTAAGCTCTAATGTAAATGATCCTACCTCCTGGAGCTGCTTGGGTGATGACACAGGGTAATCTATATAATTTATGTACAGCTCTGAGCTTGCATGTGTGTGGCTCATAGAAATCCCTCAAGGATCAACTGTCATTGTCCACGAAGTCCTACTGCATTAGGGACCACAGCTCCTCTGCAAAGTAGACTCAGGGCCAGCTGCAAGCAAGAAGACGGCTCGTTCTGCTCAGGGTCTCTGCCCACAATACAAAGGAGCAGACAACAGAAAGGAACTGAATACTGACGCACTCTAGGAAATCTAGAAGGGGCAAAATGTTCATTTGAGGAAGCAGACCAGTGTGGGGCTTGAGTGAGGGGGAGGGTTCAGGAGCCAGGGGCCACCTGGATTGGGGTGTGGGTGTGCAGTGCGAGCAGTCACCAAACCCAGCACTTTGTGCACTTACACTGGCGGGTCTGACTGTACGCAAGTCATAGCTTAATAAGACAAGATTACAATAGTTCAGCGGCCATCTTTGACGCAACTTAAAACTCTATTGTGATGGAGACTGTTCTTTAGTGCTTGACCACCATCTCCCCCAGATAGAGACATTTAATTCTGTTCTTGTTAAAATGGTTCACTTGATCTTCTTTTTCTATTCTTGCTATTTCGGATTAATTAGGCCTAACGCAGTGGTCAGAATGTCTCTTCCTAAGACTTGCCTGTGTTGAAGCACTCAGAATCGGGCTGGTAAACTACAGATGCGGTCTAATAAGGCACGGTTTGTTGCACTGAGTGGGCACAGAGGGAAGAATTATGCATCCCCTCAATGTCATCAGCACGTAATTTACACAGCAGAATTGACAGTAACAGTAATCCCATTTACATTTTTTATTACTCTCAATGCCATTAGTTTTATTTCCTTTACTTTCAGATGTCAAAGGAGGGTGTGCAGATCCTGCAGTTCAATTCTCAGTTGCAATAAAGCCATCTCCAGTGCCATGATACATGCAAATGTTTTATCATTTATTTCCATACTGGAGGCAGTTTGATGGCGAAGGCTGGCCTCCCTGCTTACTCACTGGGGACCTTTCTGAGAACCAGTTTTCGCATCCGCAAAGTGGAATCGGACCACAAACCAAAACAGAAGAAAGCCATAAACACTACGGCATTTGGTTAATGCTAGTCCATCGGATCTGCATATTATGTGGGGGGAGGAGAAACTTCATCTTTCCTTCCCATGCTGTATGGTCTGCTCTTACAACTACTGAAGTTTTATAAACAGCACTTCAACGTAAGGGTTGGCAAATTTTTTTCTGTAGAGGGTCCGTTAGTAAATATTTTCAGCTCTGCAGGTCATACAGTCAGTGTCTGTTCCAAGTACCCACTTGTGGCAGAGAGCAACCGCAGACAGCATGTCAGGAAATGAGCATGGCTGTGTTCCAATAAAGCTTTATTTATAAAAGTGGGTTGTGGGCCAGGTTTGGCCTGTGTGATGCGGTTTGCAGACCCTGCTTTAAAGAGACATCGAACAGGTTGTACCAGCTTACTTCCCTGATCCTAATATTCTTTCCAAGACTGACTGACTTGGAATTCTAACTTCAGTGATTTCACAAGATGCCTCCACCCTTAAATCTTGCCAAATTTAGTGTTAGTTAACTCTGTCTCTAATACTTCCCACTTGTAAAGTTTAATACCTTCCTGTCATATATAGGCTTTCATTCTGTAAGCTTCTTAATGCATTTTTGGAAGGCTGATGCTATAGAAATCTTCACACTACTAGTGTTGTTTCGTCCATAACCTAGACTTGCAGACCTTTGCCGGGATTTAAGAGTTTTGAGCACCCTCACTATTAAGTATCTTTACCTCTAAATTCACCTTCCTGCTCCCTTTTCCCACTGAACAGTAAACTGAGGGAACCATCATGTGTTCAGGGTGTGGAGCGGACCAGGGGGTGCTGTCAGAATGACCAGGAGGCTCTGTTTTAGGATAAATCACTCACTGGAGTGGTCCCAACTGTTAGTGCCTTAGAGTCACCCGGTAGTCCTTTAAAATGGACAGATGTCAGAGCCACACCTCCAGTGACAGGGTTTCCATTGGAATAGGGCCCAGGTGCAGGTGGATATGTAGTTAAAGGTCCCCCTGGTGGACTTCTGAGCAGCCAGAGTTGAGATCCACTCTTGTCTCCACAGTGGGTGCATACAAGGGTGACCTCCTGGGGCTCCGGTGATGACTTAGCAAGCCAGCCAGGCTGGCCAGCATCAGGGAAGCTGGTGAAGGGGACTGTCCAGCCCTGTCTAGAATCCAGGGCTAGGAATCTGTCAGCATCAAGTGTAAAGTGTTGCCATAAACACGGTACCTAAGCTGCTCCGGACTGCCCCTGCTCTTTGGTAGCCCTGTATCCATCTCTTGTGAGGCTTGGTTATTCCCCCCCTTACAGTCTCTACCCTTCCGTGCTCTGTGGATGACACTGTCTCCAACGTTACAAGAGAAGGTGAGGGGGCCCCCACTGGGGAGGCCTCTTGATTTCCATTACCTCTCCCTCAGTTCTCATGCAGGCATGGAGCCAGGAGCCCAGCAAGCTAACCAAGGCAAGTGAAGACAGAAGGGCCTGCAATGGGAGTGGGAGTGGGCAGCAGGGATGGTGCAGGGCTTTGGGTGTTGGGATCCCCTGGGCTTTGTGGCTGGAGGGTGTGGAAGGAGCTGTAGGGTGACAGGGATGGTGAAGGTGAGGTCATCAGTGTAGTGTGGGGAGAGGGTGTAGGTTGGGCGGGAAGGCGACTTGTCCTGCTGGGACCATGTGGGACAAGCAGGGACAGTGACGCACGGCTGGGCTTTTCCTTCACAGCTCTTCACACAGCTGTGGGGCCCTCCCAGTGAGCTTTACACACAGTGGACACCCCACAGTGAGACGTGTGGTCCCCACGGACCCGCTGACTACTGTCACCGGAATATAATGCCTTTTCTTCTCTCTGTCAGTTTCCTAACTCCTGAATTTAAAATTACAGCAGGGATTTCCCAAAAGGCAAATACCAAGGCCCCCAGTCTTTTGGATGGCAAGAGCTTATATTGCTAAGGTTAAAATTGGACTGCTATTGCAAACATGGAAAATATTTGACAAGTATCTATCCATCTTATGCTTACATTTACATTCCTGAGAGTAATAATTCATTTGTTTAAATGCTTCATTATGTAACAGTACTATTAGTCAGTGAAAAAGTGTGAATTATAAATTTATCTTTTTCTTCTTGGTAAGGTACTAGGGGTTGAACCTAGGGTCATCGCATTGAGCTGCATCCCCAGCCGTTTAAAACACAATTAGAAAAATCTGACACAGTGTCTCGCTGAGTCATGAGGTTTCCCAGTCTGGGGTCAAACTTGCAACCCTCCTGCCTCAGCTCCCCAGAGTGCTGGGATTCCAGGCGTGTGTCACCATACCCGGCTAAATTGATCTTTTCTTACAGCCCAACTTCCATCTGTGAATTCTCATTACTGCCCTTAAAAAGGCATAATGTCTACTTTAACCTTGTAAGAGATTACTCTGCACAGCACAGAGAGAAATAGTCCCTAGAGACACCAGTAACTGATCTGGGCACAGTTTTTTTAGCTCAAGTTGGGGGGCATGGGCAGGATTCTGTGTTTGTCTCCCAGTTTGCAGGAGAGCAGAGTGCTTTGGGACAGTTCCCCTCACAGGGCCAGCACGGGACTCTTAAGAGGCCTCTAAACATTAGCTGGAGCACTTTTATGTGTAAAGTTTTCTCTCGCACAAGCAGAAAACTAAAGATGAATGTTTCCTGTGGGATCAGTTTTCTTGGAATGTTATATGGGGAGCAAAATGCGTCTGTGACTGTGGTGGAGCTCACTTTCACACTGTGCCCGTGCCAGGGTTAGGCCAACTCACACACTAAATTGCAGAGCACGAGGACCAAGAGCGAGGTGAGGCTGAAGCGCAGGGTGCCTGCCGTGTTGCAGTCCACTCTGGAGTTCTTACAGGAGCACACCTGCACCCTGAGGTCTGTGACGTTCGTCATGGGTGGTTTCCCTGAATCTGTCACCATGATGGGCAGGTTGTAGTTGGCTTTGTTCAGATTCTGCAGAAGGCTCACCAGGGCGTGGGTATCTGGAAGGCAAGGACCCCCATGAGACAGCAGAAGACAGAACCGGGGAAAACAGGGAGCTTCTGGCTCTCTGAAACTGCTCGCCAGGGGCGCTGCATTTTAATTTATAATCATGAGACCATGTGCATTTAAATTAATTAATGTCGAGTAAAAAGACCAATGCAGTTCCTGGGTGGCAGAAGTCACATTCAGAGGCCCAGTGCCACACAGGACTTGTGGCTCTTGGGCAGGGCAGGGTGGGGACAGGATGTCTCCACCAGTGGGCCTCCTGTAGTTCTGTGCCTGTGGAATCAATTTCCAGCGGACCCACCCTTGTGAACGTCATGAAGTACTGAGAACCCCTCCTCCAAACTTATTCCACCTACCAAGAGCATTTTTAATGTTTGGAGAGTGAATGTGAAAAGCCACCAGCTCTAACCTGCCTAGGATGGACCCCAGTGCTTTGTCATGGAGAAGATGGCCTCTATAAACTATGTTTTGCTTGATCATTAGCCCACAGCCCTAGATCTGGGGGGAGAATTCACAGCCCAGAGGCTGGACTTTTAAGCTTTCCCCAATCCCATGTATCTGGGCTGTCTGTTACTCAGAAGTGCCCTCTCCTGGCCCGTGGCCTTGGGTTAGTCTCCTTTAGGCCGCTCAGATGACTGGGGATGTTTTTTTGAGACAGGGTCTCACTGTGAAGTTCCGGCTGGCCTGGAACTCACAGTACAGCCCAGGCTGGCCTTGAACTTGTGACCTTCCTGCCTCAGCAGCTGGAGTGCTGGTGTGATGGGCATGTGCCACCTTGCTTGGCACAGGCCTTTTACACAGCTCCTCTGGCGAACAAAACAGGCACAACAGAGAGGATTTAGAAGCCATTTATCTAACAAAATCAGGAGGGAGAACAAGTCTGAGGGCATGGAAACACAACCGGGGGTACCTTCCTCACCAGGAGGGGACCAGTGTGATGGCTGCCCTGCGACAGCACACTAACTGAAGGGAGGATTCCTGCTTCTCTCCTCCAGGAGAGGCTCTTAGACAAGAGCATCCAGTTGGCAGGAATGGTGATGATTATCCACATCTTACAGCCACAGAGACCAGAAAAGAAAACACAAACCCTCTCGGCCCAGGGAAGAACTGTTGTAATTAAAAATGATTGGTGTAGAGAGTTTATTCTTTAAAAAGCAATAAAATAGACACACAGGCAAACAGAATCAATAATAAGAGCGGTACTCATAAGATATGAGATAGGTTTGTAACAATAGATATGAGATTTTTAAGTAGAAGATTTTATGCACAATTGTACGAGGCAGTTTCAAAATATAATAAAAGGAGCAATCCCTGTGCCCTTCAGAAATCCCACCATGGATGCAAACAGTGAAACCGTCCAGGTGAAGAGCAAGATCAATTCATCGTTGGAGAATGAGGTGTCTGATGTGATAGCCAGTGAGACTTTGTTTCTGTTTTGTTTTGTTTTGCTTCTCCAGATGACAAGGTGAACTTATTTCAGCTGAGAAGGAAAATGGAGAGGCACTATGGATACAGGGATACTTCAAAATTCATAAGAGCAGGAATATTAGGTCAGATTTTGAATTCCACATGCCCTGTGGAAAGATTAGGAGAGAGACATTGCTTGGCAAGTTTCCTAAATGAGGCCAGATGTGGCGGCGCACGCCTGTAATCCCAGCACTCTGAGATCGGGCAGGAGGATCCCAAGCTTGAGCCTAACCCGGGCAATTTAGTGACTTACTTAGGCCCTGTTTCAAACTTTTTTTAAAAGGGCTGGGGTTGCAGCTCCATGCGAATGCCCTGGGTTCAATTCTCAACAGTGGAAAAATGTCTCATACATGAGAGAGAGGACGCAGGAAAGAGCGTCAGTCTTCCATGAAAGGTCACCATAGAGACAAGTTACATCCAGGGAGGCCTGCCACCTACGGGGAAGATCGGAGCTGCTGACACCCACGTGCCACTGTGCTTCAGTCTTTCATGAAAGTAGGTTAACCACAGAAGGGCTCTGCAAGGTGCTGCAGAAGCCCACACAGATACAGTTCCCTGGCTTTGTGATAGGAGACAGCAGAGCCAGAGGTGCATGGGGAGAAGCAACAGAAGATGGGGATGGTTGGCCAATGTTCTGTGGAAATGCAGAGGCTGGCTACACATGAGTCAGGAGGATGCTGGGGTCCAAGCAGACGCATCGAGTATGTGGTACAGAGGGCATTGGGGGGCGGGGGGCAGCAGCGGGGAGAGCTTGTGTGTATAAGAAACTGATAATCAGTATTTCCACAGACTGCATTCATTTGCTGGTAGGAAAACTTGGTATTTTACAATGTGTGAATAACCTAAACAATGTGGGAAGACGGGAGAGTGGAGAGGAAAGAGAAATGAAGTTCAAAGCAGAGACAAAGGGTGGAATGTTTGACCCAGACTTACTGTTGATCTTGGTGATCTTCCAAACTTTGTCAGGGACGGTTTGCTTATGAATTTCAAACTTGAAGGGATCTGTGTTTGGGTGGAGATCCTTGTCCGATGCTCCCAAGATGACCACACTGAGGTTTTTGGCATCATCGCAGACCTCGGCCACTGTGGGGTAGATGAAGGGCGCGTTGTCGTTCACATCTTCCAGGGTGATCAGCAAAGTCCCCGTGCCGGTGGCGGGAGGGTCACCTGTGAGAGAGGGGAGGATGGGAGGACTCCATCAGGATAACCAGGAAGTGATTTATCAGAAAGCAATTTCTGCAGTTTGTACTTAGCGCATCTTGCATTCAATATTATTAACAATTTCGGAGACAACCTACAGAATAGGAAAACATTTTTGCCAGCGATTCCTCAGACAGAGGACTAACATCAAGAATGTACAAAGTACTCAAAAAATATTAGACGCCCCCAAATAAAAGACCCAATCAAAAGGAACAGACACTGCTCAGAAGAAGATGTACAAATGGCCAATAAATACATAAAAAAATGATCATCATTGCTGGCTATCAGAGAAATGCAAATTAAAACTGCACTGAGATAATGTCTTACCCCAGAAAGAATGGCTATCATAAAAAAAATCTAAAAAGAACAAATACTGGTGAGGATGTGAGGAAAAACGAATTCTATTACATTGTTGGTGCAAATATAAACTAGTGCAACCATGATGGAAATCAGTGTGGACATTCCTCAGAAAATGAAGAGTAGAAATTATATTTGACCCAGCTGCCTCCCTCCTAGGGACAGTAGCTTTCCAAAAGAGCTAAGTCATCATATTACAGGGATACATGCACACCCATGTTTATAGCAGCACAATTTATAATAGCTAAATGTTGGAAACAAAGTGTATGTCCATCAACAGATGAATGGATAAGAGAAATGTGGTACAGTAGACCCTTGACTTACAAACTCAATTTGTTCTCGAGGGCTGATTGTAACTCAAGTTGGTCAACTAATGGTTCAGGCTCCTCTATACAGCCTTCAAAGTCTCTCCTGTACACAGGCAGATCTCAGTGTCCTTACAGAGATACTGGCCCAGGATTTCTCAATTAACCCCACACAGGAAAAGATGTTACAGTGTTCCTTCCAGAACTCTTTAAGGGTTAAATCTGTATCTGAGACATCTGGAAGCACAAGTGACTGGGATTTGGGTCATAACTCAAGACTCTGGTCGTAAGTTATAACTAAAAGTCTGGTCATAACCCAAATTGTTAGTATGTCAGGCCAGTCTTAATTCAAGGGTCCACTGTATTTATACACAATGGAGTACTACACTGCCATAAAGAAAGATTAACTTAAGACATTTGTAGGTAAACGGATGCAACTTGAGAACATCATGTTAAGTGAAATAAGTCAGACACACAAGCTTAAATGTTGCATGGTTTCTCTTATATCAGAAACACTATATACATATTTGCATACACACATAAATAGAAGAAAGATAAATAGGAAGCAGGGAGCATTTCAAATACTTCCCCAAATTATATATTCTGTTTTTTGTTTTTTTTTTTGGTATCGGGGATTGAACTCGGGTCCTTGCGCTTGCAAGGCAGGCGCCAGAACCACTGAGCTAAATCCCCGGCCCCATATTCTGTTGTTTTAAAAATATTTTAATATGTATGCTCATTTGTTTCACTTATACTAAAAGTTTATCTTAGTTCATTGAAAAGTTTGTGTTACTGTTCGTTTCTTTTTTGTCAGACTCTTTTTGGTTTATGTCTTGTACTGATTTGGAAGATAATGTTACACAGTGTAATAACTAGTGCTATTCTCTTGTTAGTTATAAAAATATGTTTTGTTTTTCATAAAATAAAAGTAAAAGAATAAAAAATATTAACAGTTAATCAGGAATGGTAATAATAGATTGCATTTTTGTATGAAGTTTAGTGGTTTATGAAGATTTAAAAAAATCATATCTGAGATTCTTGGTTGAAGTTCTTCAGACTTAATCTTTTACCTTTAGAATGCTAAGCTTCCGGTACAAAATCAGAGAAACTGAAAGTCACTCTAAAGCCCAGGATAGCAAAGTCAGCTTTTCCTCACTTATCAAATTAAAACTTTTAGCAAACAGCCAGGGATTCGCATATGTCTGCCCTATGGGGAGGGTGGAGATACCAGAGCAGGGACCAAGGTCGCTTTGGAGCAGCTCAGCTGGAAGCAGGGAGTTAACTAAGAAGCAAAAGGTCTGGTGGGGGGGCTCTCTTCTTGGGGGAGAATGATGTCAGGTGGCTGATGGGTCCATGGGGGTGAATGACCACACAACAGGGACAATTTAGTAAGTGGATCAGTGATGAGAAATAAAGTCACCTGCTGGCTGCTGGGGCAGTAGAGGCAACCATAACAGAATCTTTGGGCTTTACTTTTAAAGCCTTTTGTCTTTAATATTTCAGTTCCTGAAATGTTTTCCATTTTAGGGAACTTTATTTTTAAAAGCCTCTATAATCATTAATCTAATAATGTGTTTCACTTAAGGAAGGGTGTTCAGGACTGGGGATATGGCTTAGTGGTACGGCACTTGCCTAGCATGGATGAGGCCCTCAGTTCAACTCCCAGGACAGAAAAAATAAAGTAAGTAGCAAAGGATATGGCTCAAATTGACTTAAGTTTTCCTGACTTCATTTTCTGTCTTCTGTTCATGAGAGATTTGTTCTTGGACAAACCATTCATTAGTAGTTTCTAATTTTAATTTAGAAAACTTAGAGCCATATTTGTAGGTCACAAATTGTACGTGTGTGTATCTGCCTTATTCCCCACAAGATTTGACACACCCCTATAAAATTACTGTTTATACCGATGACCCCCGCCTGATGATGGTTCCACTCAGTGCATTTTCAGCTGAGGGCTCCAAAGCGTACCCCTACAAACATTCTGTTTGTTACTTTCAGTGTAGTACTTAAATATGCAAGCTATTCAAAGCTTTGTTATAAAATAGGCTTTGTGTTAGAGGATTTCACCCACCTGTATGCTAATGTTACTATTCTTAACATATTTAAGGTAGGATAGGCGAAGCTCTCCTGGGTTAGGTTTCTTAAACGAATTTTTGGATTATGACATTTTCAACTTCTGATGAGTTTATTGGGTTGTAGCCCCACCATAAGTTGAAGAGCAGCTGTAATTTTAGATAGTAGAATTACAGTACTAACCTAATGTGTGGCTCCATTTTCCTTTTCTTATTCCTATTTGCACTTACCCAGATTTTATTTTATCTCTTATTTATTGGCAAAGGTTGACTAACTCATCCACATGAAACCTGCATGTAGAAGAGATCAACTTTAACACAAACTGAAATATATTCACCGCATTTTGTTTGTGAGGAGTTTCTATGAAGAAAAAGTATTTGAGAAAGGAAGGCAGACAATTTAAGTGGTCAATAAGAAATATCCAGATTCCCATTTTTAAAGGTGTAACTTAAAGCAATGAGATGACGTTCTCCTAGTTAGAATACCTCACCCTGGGGAGGGAAGCAAACACTCACAGTTGAGAGGGACAGAAACGAACAGTCTTTGGAGACGCTTAGTGGTGCAGCAAGACCAATTCCCATCTCAGACTGGCAGTGCTCTGTCCACCACTTTCCCCTTGGAAGTGCTCCTTGCATGTGAAAATATGTATTCAAAGAAAATTCCAGCACGGAACAGCACCTGACTTTAAATTTCCCGCAAGTGTCCACCAACAAGGGAATCAGATGAGCAGGTTATTGCACTTTCGAAATAATGCCTACCTCTAGTGTCCTGGACAAATACAGTTCCTCAATGTTCCTCTAACACTTTGCTAAGGACATATAGTATTGTTTTCTTTTTCTTTTATTAGTGCATGTTTGGAATATGTAATATTGAAGCTCCTTTTGGGAACTGGTGCATGCATGTAACATGCCCTGACCATCGTGGATTCCTTCACTCCTCTCCCCCTTACCTCCCTCCTCTCTCCTATCTCATGCTTAATTTCTGAGATGCACGGTGAATTTTCTGCTATTGAATAGCGCGTGGGTTAGAAGAGCCTGGGTACTGGGTTGAAGGGAGAGGACAGGTGTCAAAGGCAAGGCAAGGGCCAGTGAGGCAGCCACTAGCCCTTTCTAGATTCAGACCTTTTCCTACTTACAGGGACAGAACATGCGGAGCGGACCTTGTGGCCTTTGGGCAGATGATGCCAAAAGGAGCCACACAACTGCTGCATGAATGAAGTCATGTGGCCAAGGAGCCAACTTCACTCCGCTTCTGGGCAATTTTATAGCCTATAGCTGTGCCCTGAGGGGGCAGGCAGGAAGCTCCATCACTCACAGAACCTTGGAGGTGACGAGAAACAGGGAGGATCACACGGTGTCCTGCCAAGCCCTCATTACGTGGCTCCCAGTGCAAAGGTACCAGGTGCCATCAGGTGTCTGGTTGCTCCTTCCCAGCAGGGCACATTGGAGGATGGCAAGGGGGCAAGGCTGGAAGGGCTGGTGGGGTCAGGGGGCCTTGGTTGTCACAACAAGGAACCGTGCTGGTTCTGTGGGTTTCACAAAGCCACCAGAGGATTTTCAGGAAAGCGTGTGTGACAATCTGATCTGACTCATTTCTGGAAAACATGCAACTGTACTGTTAGGAAATGCACATGTTGCTGGCATGGAGACCTGCAATGGATTAAGTGGGTCAGGGTATAGGAAGCTTGAGCAGGAGGGAAATGCCTGGCCTTGGTGATTAGGTGCTCATATGGGGCTGCCAGAGGAAAAGCAGGGGGAAGTAGAAGGACCATGGGACCAGCTTTGACTGTGCTAATGGCACCAGGTAGAAGTGGACGGCTTAGGAGAAATGCTGAAACTGAGTTAAGGCTGGGAAGCCATCACTGGATAGATGCTTTTGAAACCTTTCTGGAAAATTAGGTTCCCCAAGGTGAAAGTGCAGGATTCAAGAGGGGTGGAGCCCTTGGAAACCCCAAAGGTTTAAAGGTTTAAAGGACAGATGATGGTTTTGCAGAAGACAGAAAGGAAGTCAATTGCAAGAGGAGAAAAGGATTAACAGTTAAATATGTATGAACCCCCTAGGATGAGCAGCAGAAGCATGGGGATTTTGCAAGGACACTGCTCCTGGTGCCTTTTGGGAGAAGTTTCTGTTAATGGGGAAAAACCAGCTGGAAGGAAGCTGAGCAGGGACAGCAGCCACTCTTTACAGAGGCTGGTGGAAGTGTAAATGTTTCAACACTAAAAGATGGATTCA